CCGGCTCACGATTCTTAATAAATATATAGATGTATATATATATGTGTATGTGTGTGTGTGACTTGGTTTTTGAATTCGCGCAACTCCCTCCGATTGCATCACCAAAATAGTCAGCTGCAGTCTTAACTTTTAACCTAACGGATTAGGCACAAGCAGCGACGTGACTTCGACGTCATCTATGACGTCGCTTGTGGGCGACTGTGTGTGTGTGCGTGCGTGTTTTTGCTATGTGTGTGTGTGTGTGTGTCATCAATTTTTTGCATTTTGCAGCCTTAAAATGAGCAAACGAATGACGTAGTAGATCCCCATTGATGTTCCGTTGCGTTTCATTTCGCAATTCGCAATTCGCGTTTCTCATTTGGTTGCGGCAAAAACAGCCGAAAAACCTAAAAACCGACTAAACCGGCTACACACACATAAACACACACACACAAACAAACTCAGGAGAGCGAGCAGGTCAGCTTACGCTGCGTGTGTGTGTGTGTGTGGGATAGGGAGAGCGATGCGGATGCCGCTGACGCAGTCGCTGCCGAATCCCGCCGATTGCCGAAGCGACAAATGCCGAACTCGAAAAACGTGCACACGTGCAGCATGCAGACGAACGGGCGCAGGCGACAACAAGAACTTTTTCGGTGTGAATGCCTTCTGCACAAAAACGTGGTTTTTCGGCTGTCAGCGTTGCAGTTGACGTCGCCGTCGCAGTCGTAGTCGGCGTCAGCGCTAACGCTGCTGCGTTTCTATTTTTTTTCTTGTTGTCTTTTTGTTATTCCTCTTTTGATTGTTGCAATTTCGATTCGCGCTCGTAACTGTTAAGCAGTTTCTAACAGCTGCACAGATGCCCGCTAACAGTTCAATGGCGCGTCGCTGTTAGCTAACAGCCGCCGCACTGTAAGCGCATTTTTGTTTTTGTTGCATATGCTGAGGCACAATCGAAAAACTGTTATGTGAGATCGCTGCGCAGCGCTGAGTAATGATGCGAAAATGATTTAGCTATATTTTATACATGAAGGTTTTATTTTGGAAATGTTAAATTATCATACATTATCTCATAGAGTAATTTCTCTATGAAAGAATGTATTGAGTTTTACTTAGAGAAAACAATAATCAATTAATTTTTTTTTTTTAATTTTTAGTAAATATTACTCATACGCCAGGCATAACTTTTTGTAGTTCTATTACCCCACTTTATTTTTCACAATTTTCTTGAGTTTATGCATAGCAACTGCATGGAAACAAACAAAATATGAAAACCAACAGACAGCACACAACATGCAATAACAACAACAACAACAACAAACAACATGGAACAACAATTGCAACTGCAACTGTAAAATGTTTCTGTTCTCTTTGGCCGGCAACGCCGGCTCCGGCTCCGGCTGTGCCTCTGTTCTCAGCTCACTTGCAATAAAAAATAAAGTGTTATTGTTGTTGTAGTTGTTGTGGTTGTTGCTTGCGCTTGCTGCTTCCGTTAGTTGCCGGAAGTTGCACGAAGTGCACAAAAGCTTTCGGCTCTTAGTTCTCTGGCCCTGTTAACAGTTGGCTGAGAGCAGGAGCCAACGCCAGCCGAATGCAAATGTTGTTTGGCCTGCCAAATTGGCAATGGCCAAAAGACAAAAGCACAAACACCGACGACAAAGAGCAGCGCAACAGCCGGCGTCGGCGTTAGCGTTRGCAGAGCTCGCTGCTGATGTTGCTGTTACTGTTGTTCTTGTTCTTGTTGTTTGACTAAAAGTGTAGTTGGGTCTCATCGCAGTCGCAGTC